GCCCCGGGGCAGGGGGGCCCCCAGGGGCCCCCGGAGCCCCCGAAGGCCACCCAGAAAACGCTGAGGCCCTCAGCAAAGCCCTTGTCATCACAACTGTGGGGCCCTGGATGTTAACAATTTGCATTTATTTTCTTTTGATGGGAACTTATGGAAAAGACAAGAGGCGGGCGCTGCGGCTGGCGCAGCAGCAGCAGCAGCGCAGCAGCAGCAGCAGCAGCAGCGCAGCAGCAGCAGACCTCGAACTGGGGGAGCTGCAGGACGAAGGCGCCGACAGCGACCTCGAACTCCTCAGCCTCAAGGGGCCCCCAAGCCCCAACAGAGGGGCCCCCAACAGGGGGGCCCCCAATAGGGGGGCCCCCACTAGGGGGGCCCCCATGGGGAGGGGGCCCCTCTACGTGAAGGTTGCTTCGAGTGTACATACACCCCGAGAGGCAGACGCAGAGTGTCCGCGCCTTGTAGCAGCAGAAGACGACACTGACCCAGAGAGCCCTGCTGCTGCTGCTGAAGCTGCTGCTGCTGCTGTTGCTGCTGAGGCTGCTGCTGCGCAGGGTGAGCCTGCTGCAGGCTTCAGCAGCAACAGCAAGCACGAGCCCACCCCTGTGTAGAGACTCGTGTCTTAAAGCTTTCCCTAGGGGCCCCTGGGGGCCTTCTAGGGGCCCCTGGGGCCCCCTAAGAGGCCCCACGGGGGCCCCCAGGGGGCCCCAAAGGGGCCCCACAGGGTCCCCAAAGGGGCCCCAAAGGGTCCCCAAAGGGGCCCCAAAGGGGCCTCAAAGGGGCCCCAAAGGGGCCCCAAGGGTGCCCCAAAGGGGTCCCACAGGGGCCCCAAGGGGGCCCATTGGGGGTCTTTGAGAGACCTCTTGTCGGGTCTCATGGGGCCCCTAAAAGGGTTTTTTAGGGGCCCCCAGGAAAGCCCGAGGGGGCCCCTCAGAAGGTCTTGGGGGGCCCCCGGGAAAGCCGAAGGGGCCCCCAACAATATTGTAAGGTGGGGCTCCTAAGAAAGCTCCCAGGGGCCCCCAGGGGCACCTAAAGAGGCCTTGGAGGCCCCCCTAAAAGAAAGGCCTCGGGGCAACCCTAGAAAGCCCTTGGGGGCCCCTAAAGAGGCCTTGGGGGCCCCTAGGGGGCCCCAGGGGCCCCCCGGCAAATTCTTTGTAGAGCCGCAGCAGGGCCCCTGGAGGCCCCACCAAGTACCCTAAAAAGCCCCATTTGGGGCCCCATCTGGGGGCCACCAAGAGGGGCCCCCAGGAGGGCCCCCAGAAGGGGCCCCATTTGGGGGCCCCTAGAAGGGGGCCCCATGTGGGGGCCCCTGGAAGGGGGCCCCATTTGGGGGCCCCTAGAAGGGGCCCCCAGAAGGGGGCCCCCAGAAGGGGCCCCCAAGTGGCGCGTTGGCTCGGCTGTGCTGCTGTTAGCGCTTTTAGGGTTTAGGAAGAAACCCTCAATATAAGACAAGGGTTTGTTTTGGGGTTTGGGGCTCTAGGGTTTAGGGTTTAGGACTCGGGATTTGAGGCTTGGTGTCTAGGGTTTAGGGTTTGATGTCTAAGGCCCAGCAATTAGGGTTTGGTGCCTACGCCAGGGTTTAGGGTTTAGGGTTTAAGGCTTGGTCCTTCTAGGGTTTAAAGGCTAGTATCTAGGTTTTAGGGTTTAGGGTTTCGCGTCGATGGTTCACGGTTTAGGGTTTAGTCTCAAATGAGTTATGCAGAGAGCAAATTGGCACTGCTTTCGTTACTTGCGGCGGCGGCCGGC